CCACAGAGTTACACTTCACATGGAAATTGGACTTTCAATTTCTCTATACAACATCTACCGTGAGTACAGACGACAGCTTCAATTATGAGTATAAGAAATATTTGAAGCCATCAAGGAAACAAAATATGAAGATACATGTATGACTGCAGACAGACGAAATAAATGCATCCAGATAATTTTAGCAAACTGAGTGCTTAAATTTATATTGCGATTGGTCTGTGCAATTTGCTGTAGACATTTGGTTTGAAGAAACTAAGAATCGCAATAGGATTGGGACTTTGTATGTATATTAAACATGAAGAAAAACTGATGTACACTCCCAAGTAATAAATAAAATAGTCAAGCCTTAAAAGGTAAATTCAGGAATATGACAGTTGTTGTCCATTTGTTTGATGTGTTTTGTCATTTGATTTTGCCATGTGATTAGGGACTTTCCGATTGAATTTTCCTCAGAGTTCAGTATTTTTGTGATTTTACTTTTTTTCATATAGTAGGTGTATACATTTCTCTATTTCCAACTAAAGTACAACATTGCTTTTAATTGACTTGTGTTAGAATCTACACACAATTACATATTTTCAATAAAGGTGTTTTAACATCATCGGTATATTATTATATTCAGTCAATTATTTCAAATCTAAAGCCAAAAAAAAATTCATCAACATTTTTTGGTTACCAGTCAGCAGTCTCGTGTTCACGTATTGCTTTTCTTTTTTTAAAGAAAGCAACTTGTTACTTGTATAAGTAAAAAAATCTGAATGTCTAAGGGACATAACTTAAAGCCATTAAAATAATTTAGCTATACATGTAAATAAATTACACTTGTATAAGTATCTTACAAATTAAAATAAAATGCTCCGCAGGGCGCAGCTTGATACGACCGCAGAGGTCGAACCCTGAACAGTTGGGTCAAGTATGGACACAACATTCAAGCTTGATACAGCTCTGAATTTGGATTGTGATTAAATATTTGACACAGCATAGGTTTCTGACACAGAATGAATGTGGTCTAAGAACTTAAAAATTTTAAATTGGACATTCAACTATTATGGTCCAATATCCAAAATCTAAATACATGGTTAGATTCAGCATATCAAAGAACCCCAAGAATTCAATTTTTTGATGAAATCAAACAAAGTTTAATTTTGGACCCTTTTGACCTCAATGTGGACAAAGTTGATAATGGGGCCCAAAAATCAAAAATCTAAATACATGGTTAGATTCAGCATATCAAAGAACCCCATATATTCAATTTTTGTTGAAATCAAACAAAGTTTAATTTTGGACCCCGATTTGGACCAACTTGAAAACTGGGCCCATAATCAAAAATCTAAATACATGTTTAGATTCAGCATATCAAAGAACCCTAAGAATTAAATTTTTGTTAAAATCAAACTAAGTTTAATTTTGGACCCTTTGGACCTTAAGGTAGACCAATTTGAAAACAGAACCAAAAATTAAGAATCTAAATACACGGTTAGATTCGGCATATCAAAGAACCCCAATAATTCAATTTTTGATGAAATCAAACAAAGTTTAATTTGGGACCCTTTGGACCTCAATGTGGACCAATTTAAAAACGGGGCCCAAAATCCAAAAACTTAATACACGGTTAGAATCAGCATATTAAAGAACCCCAAGAATTCAAGAATAAAACCCCATTGAAATTGGTCAAGAAATAAGCAATTTATACGAAGTATCTTCTTTTGCACAATACTGTGCAATTGAATATTTCTTGCTATTGCGCAATACTGTACAATTGACAATTTCTTGCTATTGCGCAATATTGTGCTATTGGATATTTCTTGCTATTGCACAATACTGTGCAATTGAAGATTTTTTGCTATTGCGCAATACTGTGCAATTGAAGATTTCTTGCTATTGTGCAATACTGTGCAATTGAAAATTTCTTGCTATTGCACAATACTTATTTTATAATAATTTACACATCCTGTTTGGTGTGTATCTCCTACCATATTATTATTATTTGCTTTTAAATATAAAACAGAAATAACCAACTTAAAATGGAAAATTTTAAAAGAAAAAAAAAAGGAAAAAAAAAAAAATCACCCCCCCAAAATTTTTTGAACCCCCTTATGATTCATCACCCCCAAACTCGATCCCAGCCTTCCCTTTGTGGTATGGTACCTTGCAGTACAATTTCAGAGAGATCCATACACTTGAACACAAGTTATTGTCTGGAAACTAGAAAAATGCTTATTTTTTTCCCCTTTTTTGCCCCTTATTCCTAAACGTTTTGGGTAATTACCCCCAAACTCAATTCCAGCTTTCCCTTTGTGATATGGAACCTTGTAGTACAATATCAGAAAGATCCATACACTTACACACAAGTTATTATCTTGAAACTAGAAAAATGCTTGTTTTTTGCCCCTTTTTGGGCCCCTAATTCCTAATATTTTGAGGCAATTACCCCCAAAATCAATCCCAGCATTCTGTGTGTGATATGGAACCTTGTGGTACAATTTCAGAGAGATCCATACACTTGAACACAAGTTATTGTCTGGAAACTAGAAAAATGCTTATTTTTGGCCCCTTTTTGGCCCCTTATTCCTAAACGTTTTGGGCAATTACGCCCAAACTCAATTCCAGCTTTCCCTTTGTGATATGGAACCTTGTAGTACAATTTCAGAAAGATCCATACACTTACACACAAGTTATTGTCATGAAACTAAAAAAATGCTTGTTTTTTGCCCCTTTTTTGGCCCCTAATTCCTAATATTTTAAGGCAATTACCCCCAAAATTAATCCCAGCATTCCCTGTGTGATATGGAACCTTGTGGTACAATGTCAGAGAGATTCATACACTAACACACAAGTTATGTCTGGAAGTTACAAAAATGCTTATTTTTGGCCCCTAATTCCTAACTGTTGGTACCATAACCCCCAAAATCAATCCCAACCTTCCTTTTGTGGTATTGAACCTTATGGTAAAATTTCATAGAGATCCATTCACTTAAACTAAAGTTAGAGTGCGAAAACCAATGTGTCTTCGGACGACGCCGACGCCAACGTCATACCAATATACGACCGCAAAAATTTTTTGCGGTCGTATAAAAAAATGAATTAACTTATACAGTTATATAAGTATATTAAGTTAATACTTACTTCTTCAAGTATATAAAAACAACTTGTACAAGTAGTACCCCTGACTGTTGGTACATTTTGTATGAAAATTAAGGATCCAAATAATTACAGCAGGACTTCCCAAGTTTACGATTGAAGTTGTAGAACTGTAACCATGGTAACAGGTTTAAAACACCCTCTAGTAACTGCCTAAGAACTGTGGACCACAGATTCGATTCCTGGTGGTACAGCATGCAATTTTGGAAGTAAAATTATGCTCTACTGTTACCATGGTTACAGTACATTGGCGCCCAACTAAAAAAACTCATGGATGTGAAATGGCAAGGTTGGCTAAGGTAAACTGTAAAGAGTTGGTTATATACATGTATCCTCATTATTATGGTATGATGACTCCTGAGGTGGGGGAAGTGTAGCGAGACTTTTCATGCAGTCAGGGGACTACTACTTGTACAAGTAATCTTTATTTACTTGAAGAAGTAAATAAAATATACTGATATAAGTAAATTATAATGTTTGAATAATCTCCCCTTAATTTTCTCAAAAATTAACTTGTATAAGTAAATTTTTTTACAATCCCACAAAAATTCTCAAGTTTTCAGATGTAAAATCATGCCTTTAACAATTATTCTCAGGTTAGCTCATAATTTTTGATAAAGAGTTCAATGTTTCATCTCATTAATTCAACAAAGAAACTGATTGCGCAAAGATCTTAAGTATTTGTGCAAGGCCTTCAAAAATTGCTCCTTGGGGGCTTGTAAATGAGCAGTGTTCTGAAGATAACAGACAAATGAGATTTTCATTGTCCATGAAATTACTCTTAAATGATTAGTAAAGACATCTGCAAAGGACAGACAATTCAAAATTCTGTTAGAGCAAAGAAGTTCTAAGAATTCAAGAAAAGAAGATAGGATGACTTTTTTACTTGTATAAGTAAAAAAATCTGAATGTCTAAGGGACATAATTAGGCCAAAAAATAATTTACCTATACAAGTAAATAAAATACACTTGTATAAGTACATGTGTATCCTACAAATTTACTTATATAAGTATATAAATATTTACTTCTTCAAGTAAATAAAATACTTGTACAAGTAGTACCCCTGACTGTCATGTTTACGATTGAAGTTACATGTATAGAACTGTACATAGCAGATTTATAACACCCTCTACTAGCTGCATTAGTGGAGATCTCCTTTAGCTCAGTTATCGGTACCTCGAATGACCGAATAACACTGTTATTATCCAAATAACACTTGTAATGACTGAATAACACTTGAAATTTTAATATTAGCACATATTGGTGACATTTAAACATTAATTATTAAATAATATTATATTATAAGTGTATTATATAACTTAAAAATGATTTACAGAAAGATCAATTTAAATTAAATATGTGAAAATTCTTAATTACGTTTCATTCAATATTGAGTAAATCGTTAAGAAAACTAATACGTAGGTGATTGGAGTAATTGCATGGCTGTGATGTACTTGTTAACTTTTCAAAACCTTACTGAAAAAATATTATTGGACAATACTCTGTATATACAGTATTTGATAATCAATGTTTAAATGTCACCAATATGTGCTAATATTAAAATTTCAAGTGTTATTCGGTCATTCGTGTTACCCCTCAGTTATTAGAACTTTGTGCTGCTGTACTAAGGGTCCCTGGTTCCTTTCCTGGTGGTGCAGCAGGTAATTTTGGAAGTAAAGTTATGCCCTTCTGTTACATAATAAATACAAATGTAAGGGATCATCCCCAAAAGTCATTTTTGGACTACTGGCATGACTGGTGAAACAATTTTTCAGAATGTGATATTCTCATTCTTTTTTCGACATGTGATACAGTAAAGAGCGAGCTATAGATCGCATATAAATATTACAACACTTACCCATCTCAGTCAAAAAATCTCGAAGTGCTGAGAGTGCATAGTAGTACATGTAGTCTTCAGTCCCATTGCCTTCAGTGGGTGCATCGAAGAATCCAACACCAACTTTATCAATGGATTGATGTAATACATTGAAGCCTTCTTCGAAAACATTAGAAAAATTCTCACATAAAACAACATCATTTCCTTTACAGCTATACACTTCATGTTCGAGGTGAGCCTCCGAAAAGCTTACCCCAATCTTACAGTTTTTTATCATAAGTGGTGCCAGTTGTAAATCCTTATAATTGTTCAAAGCCGATTTTAAAATATCCGTCTGTGATCTGCGTTTAGAAGAAAAATATCTTGAAGAAACATGCTTCATCGAACGGAGCTTAGAAATTTCATTTAATAAACCATAAAAAAATACTTTTGTTTTCTTAACAGTGTGTAGAAGCTGCCACGCAGCCATATTGACAATTAGCGGAGAAATATCTTATTAATAAAACGAAGTAAATGGATGTCAATGTATTGTCACTACGTATATATACTGTAATGTTAGTATTACAACATATGACTTATGTTAGCGATAGTCGACACTTAATTGTTGATCGCTGTGCATCAGGTCAATATAAGTAAGGGGAGGGAAAGCAATGATAATATGCTGAGAAGCGAAGCAAGAAATCTAGGCACATTACAAACTCGGCACATGTCAACTCGGCATAGTGCAATCTTGGCATATTACAAACTCGGTCCATTAATAATAATATTATATATGTATCAGAGACATATTGCAATATATTTCTATATATTTCTATGTGTATGTATATATTGAGGATTAAAACGTGAAGTATTCAACACAGAATTAATGAACAATCTCTTCAAATTTAAACCTTGAAAGGCTTATATAAGTTCGACAATGTTTGTATAACTAAAATTGATCTTCGGTTATAGAAGATAATAATTATTGTGCCAATAAAATGAATTTCATTTAAAATAGAACAGCCGGGAAAACAATATCATTGCAACATCCTACAAGCTACATGGTCACACTCTAGAACCTGTCAAAAGCGCCAAATAAATGGGCTGCACATTTACATCCGAACTGAAATGGAATGACCATGTTAACCGGCAACGTATGTAACAAATCGGCTTCCTAAAACGAAATCTGAACATAGGTATCATGGTAAACGCAAAAAACCGTAATCAACGTATTAAACATGGTATAAATTATACACTTGCTGATCTGTTATCTATAGTAAAAAATAATGGTAGACTTCAAGTATTATGCAAACTGGGTCATATACCAACAGGGGCGGATTCAGGCGGGGGCGTGGCGGGCGCGCGCCCCCTAAAATTTGCAAAGCATGGATTGTCCTCAGGTTAATAAAGAATATTTCGATAATTTTATCTAAAAAAAAAAAAAATCCCCTCGCTCCGCTCGGCGAAAATTAAAGTTTGCGCCCCTCCAACCTAAAATCCTGGATCCGCCCCTGTTTATGGGTCGTTTTCAAAATCCGTTCATATTTTAGATAGAGATTTGGAAAATATTTTTATCAAATCAATTCAATTTTAAATATTCTAATGAATTCTGACTTAATAATTTATATGAACAAAATCTAAAATATGCAGTCTTAATGAAACTGGGAAGATCATTTTAAATGCACAATGAGATAACAGAAATTACGGAATTTGTCAACTACATAACGATAGCATTTATGTTGATATCACAATGTTTAGTACTAATAAATGATGACCTTTTCAATAAACATTATAAGTTAAATTTACTTTTTTCTAATTACTTCGGTTAATACAGTGTTCAACGTACGATTTTGACTTTTGCTTTTTGTCACCTACATAAGATATAATTGTCAACTACATAACAAAAATGTCCACCACATAACAAAATTAGGTCAATTGTTATGTAGTTGACCGTTATGTAGTGGACATATTCACACTTTAGGGCGTTTTTTTATACCACTGATTCTATAAAACACAGAACATTGATTATAATGATATAGATACGGACGTGATGTTCCATTGTTATCTTGCAAAAAAATTCCGTTACCAAGTGGACAAGTTAAAAAATACGGGCTACCTCTAAAAATGTTGATACCATTTACAGAGTTATCTTTTGATTTATGCTTCCATTATTATAATGATATGTAGAGTTAGTACTGAGGCACATTCTAGATAAAAAAAAAAAGGGGGGTGTCAGAATTTATATCATAGCAAGCAAAAACGTTTTTGTTATGTAGTTGAAAAAATATCAAGTACGCTATAAAACATTAAGATAAATAAAAAATAGCCAACTACTAGTTAAAGCCTTTATAATATCAATCTGCATTGTATTTTCTATGTTAAAACAGAAAATTGTAAGATTTGGGTAATTATAAAGATGTCTATTTTGATACGATATTTGGTATTTTTGGAGTTGGGACATGCAGTTTAGGGTCATTTTAGAGCTTTAATTGGATATAAGAAGATGTGGTATGAGTGCCAATGAGACAACTCTCCATCCAAGTCAAAATTTATAAAAGTAAACCATTATTAAGCACGATTTCCAAGAAAACCCACGGACCTATTCCTTATTTTTCTTCTGCAAGTAGTAGAACGTACGTTGCACTATGCAGGAAACCAAAATTCAAATGATGATAAAGCCGTATTTTCCTCACAGGTCAGCCGTACAAGAATATGGACGGATTTTGAAATTGACCATTATACCTTACCTTACTATACGGTATGGGCTATTTGTAATAATAGGATTACAAAAATTACAATAAAAAAGACGGCTTTTCGTTCCATATTGTTGATTTTCATTTTCTGTCAGGCAAGTTCTTTTGGGCCGTTCCTGCGTTGTGTATCGTTCGCCCTGGTTGTGACTTGTGCCGTTTACATGGTTTAAATTTCAATGCACATAATCTACTGTATGACTGGTAATTAGATTATCAAGTTCCAAAGATTACTTGGAAACCTTTACTAACTATTATGATAGACACATGTGCAAAGCTTTGGTTTCAAAATTTAACTGTGTCTGCATTAACATTATCAAAAATGGGCATCCTTATTTTTTAACTTAATGTTGTTTATAGAACCCGTTAATTTAGATACGACCCGTGTTTATTTATTGATCTTACGAATGAACTTATTCTCCGAGGTTGTCAATTTAAGGATGTTCGCACCTCTTGCTTTTGAATTTTTGCCAGATATTCGGAATCCTCTGTTTTTATCCATGTACTGCCATTAAAAAAATTTCCCCGCTAACCCCTACTTTTCTTTTCATAATTTTATTAAATATAGTAAAAAAAGCCATATTCGAAAATGCTATAAAACCCTTGTTATTTTTTCATTTTTTTTAAAGAAAAAGGTTAAAATTGCCAATGTTAAATGTATGAAAAGGCTAGAGAGAATTATTTCCCGCCAAATTTTCAATGGCTTATATCTCGAAAACAAGCACCAGGACCCTTTATTTTTTTCTGCTTTTTTAGTTCCTTTATTTATATACTATCAATTTATAACAGTCTTTTAAAAAGCTTGTTATTTTGAAACAGAGTAGCGAACATCCTTAACTAAACTAATTCAATCTAGCTTATCTTTAAACCACCCCCTTTGTAAAGGAATCATATTTCCATATGTGAAACAGTTGCACTTTTTATATACACAGTGCTGGTACTCCCTTCACCATTTTACATCTAACCATATTTTCGTTCAGAAGGGGTGCTCTCTTTATGTACAGTGCTGTTACTTCCTCCAACATAACATTCGAAATCTGTTTTGCATATATTTACAATCACTTACACTGTAGATATATCTTTGAATATTAACTGTCTTCACCGGTACTAACGTTGCATGATATTGTTATTCATAAATAAAAACATAACTGACTACCTATAATTATACAGTTATAAGTACTTATGGTGCGGTACTATTCTATATATATATATATATATATATATATATACTGTCAATATTTCTATTTTGCACAAGGTCATGCTTTCCTCTTAGACTTAGACTTGTTGCCTTTTTTCATTCTGTAACAAAATTGAGAATGGAAATGGGGAATGTGTCAAAGAGACAACAACTCGACCAAAGAGTAGAAAATAGCCCAAGGCCAACCAATGGGTCTTCAACACAGCGAGAAAATATATCACTCGGTGGCTGGCTTCAGCTGGCCCTTAAACAAAAATGTATACTAGTTCAGTGAAAATGGACGTCACACTAAACTCCGAAACATATAAATGAACTAAATTAAAAAAAAATATACAAGACGAACAAAGTCGAGAGGCTCCTGAAAAATGCGGCGGGGTTAAACATGTTTTGTGAGATCTCAACCCTCCTCCTAAAAAAGTTGGTTTTTGTTGGCGCTTCTTGCGCAACTGATACACGAGTCAAACCCTTTCGAACTGAGTTTTACAGTTTGTTTTTAGTCATACTGTTACGGCACTGTCCAAGGTTAGGGAAGGATTAAGTTCTCTTAAACATGTTAACGTCGCCGCTTCATTTATGTGGCATGTTAGGAGCCTGTAAATAAGTGGTTGCCTTTTGTTGTTGTCTGTAATATTTGTTTTTCGTATAAACTGTTTAAGCATAGATGGTTTTTCTCGTTTGAATTGTTTCACATATGGCCATGACGGGTCCTTTTGTACGTTACTTTACTGTATGTGATAAGCTCAATGTTGTTGAAGGCCGTATGGTTACACATGTTGCTTACATGTACATGCATCCACGTATTTTGATCTCTAAAAGAAAGTTGTCTTATTGGCAATCATGTCACATCTAAGTATTTTCATATTAATTATGGGTAATGCATAGATTGATGAAAATAAAGAGTTGTTTAAAGATTATTGATTATATTATATTATATCATAATTCTTTATTGATGTTCTCAATCTGAATTAAATCTTGCACTTTTCTCCGTTAGATTTGTATGTCGCGACGCTCCGTTAGATTTGTATGTCGCGACGCTCAGTAAGATTTGTATGTCGCGACGCTCCGTTAGATTTGTATGTCGCGACGCTCCGTTAGATTTGTATGTCGCGACGCTCAGTTAGATTTGTATGTCGCGACGCCCCGTTAGATTTGTATGTCGCGACGCTCAGTTAGATTTGTATGTCGCGACGCTCAGTTAGATTTGTATGTCGCGACGCTCCGTTAGATTTGTATGTCTCGACGCTCCGTTAGATTTGTATGTCTCGACGCTCCGTTAGATTTGTATGTCGCGACGCTCAGTTAGATTTGTATGTCGCGACGTCCAAAGGGACAAAGTGAAAAATCTTATTTTAATGAGATTGGAGTTTACATTCATTATGCGAAATGGTAGTTTCGTTCGAAGACATAGTATTTGCAACATAGTGCACGAACGGAAGGAAAGCGCACTAAGTCTTCAAGTTAAACGAGGCGCATTTTCCGCATATATCATAGTCAATCAGAAGTTGGTAGACATATTTTGGAAAAAGGGCCCAGTTTTATTTTACTGATTCTACAAGATACTAGTATATTTTTAAAGATTTTACGAAAAAATATGTTTTGAACGAAGCCTTCTTCTCACTATATATATTCGCCACCGATGAGCAGAGCTCTTGAATTTCTAAAGAAGTATGGCCAATTGTCTTTGAAATTATTTCAC